AGAGAGAGAGAGAGAGAGAGAGAGAGAGAGAGAGAGAGAGAGAGAGAGAGAGAGAGAGAGAGAGAGGGGGTTGTTTATGATTTCTCACACACATACACACCTTTAAGACCAGCTTCTGAGTTGCTGGATCTTCCAACTGCAACTCGAATGTTTCATCCCAGACAGGGTCCTGTGTATCGTTGATGACTCGTGAAGTCTGCGGGAACTTCAACCTCGTATACATCTTGACAAACGAGTCGGACTTGCCCCAAACCTCTGTGTTCTTCAGATTCTCAGCCCTCATGAGATGGACCGTCAGCTTGCCCGCTAGCTTCAATTCAAGGTCACTGAAGGACGGGAAAAACCACAAACAATTTGATTCCAATTTTGAAAAAGACAGTCTGACAACCCGATCGATTGATTTGATTCCAATTTTGAAACAATTTTTTTTGGAGTTCAAATTTGTCAGTTCGTTTACTTGTGAGCCGACATATGCAAAGCTGAATGAGTAGTCGGATGGCATACTCACACTAAAAATTTTCTGCATGAACTGGACAGTCATTACGACTAGTCCTGGATGTATAAGACCACAATTTGCATCCAGATACCAGTTGAAGAAGTCGTAGTGTGCGAAGATGCCCTCGACGCAAACAATAATACTCTCAAGACGACTTCCGGGGGCAGCTCAAGGACCAAAAAAAGGTGGAAAAAAAACGGTGAATTTTTGACTTGTGGGCTTGGCTACCAGAGTGGACCGGGACCACTTGCCCAGCTGGGCGTATATACAGGGTAACCGGCGTTCGGGACGGGCCGAACGCCCGAACCCGAACGCCCGAACGTATGGGACCCCTTGGGGATGCGTTCAACTGTTCGGGCCGGACGCGGACCCCAAAAAAAAAAAAAGTCATCAAAAAAAGCTGAAAAAAGATATGTTATGGAGAAAAATAAATTAAACAAGATTTGCCTGAGCATTACATCCGAATTCCTTACCAAATTTGAAATAAAAATAAAATACGGAAAACAAATATGCAAGGAACATGAATATGGACGAAGCACAGAAATCCAGAATGCAAAATCACACTGGTCCAAGTAGTCAAAGCCAAAGCAGATAGCACATGGAACCGAGTAACCATCCCATTGAGAATGATACAGAAGAATCGTGAGTCAATGTCCATGGCCAACAGGGCAACACCAACAGCATAACCCAAATGTAGCTCTCTCTTGTGAATGGCGCCAGGCACCCTATCTACTCTACAGCCTAGCCTACAACTACAGCAATGAAAGCAACCAGACAACTTGACTACCAGCGAGTGATGATGTCAACACCAATGCCGACCTCCACCTCCACCAGGTACGTGTCCTCTTCACCCACACTCTCCCTTGTACCCACACAGCGCCCTTCACCTCCGAASAACCACCTTCGCCCTTCACCCCTCTCTGCACCCTCATGCGGCCCGGCTATGGCCGCCAGTGCCCTGGTGCACAGGCAGCGCCCTACCGCCTAGCGCTGGCCTGCCTTGCACCTCTCTTAGCGCAGCGCAGCAGCAGCAGCAGCTCGCATTTGCGCAGCGTGCCGGCATTGCCCGCAATGGCCAACATTTTTGCCCACTCGCCCTGCTTGCCTATATGCCAGTGCAGCGTGTGGGCGGCCTCCCTTCAGCCTGTGCCCGGGACCCAGAGGCTGAACCCAGCCCGATACAGTTGGGCCCCGGGGCAATGCAGTTGCACGTCTTTCATCAGGGCCTGCGCCCAGATTCAGATAGTGGGCCGGTTTGCCATTGGCATTTTCGGCCTCTATATCCAGCATGCATTGTCGGCCTCACGTTTATGTGCCCAGGGGCTAACCAACTCAGAGGCCCTGGGATTTCCGCATTTGCAGACGTCCGAGACTCGGTGCACTCCAACCAACTGGCGTGCTGCAACTGTATGGACCCCCACTTCATGAAATGTTTGCACAGAGGGCTCTTGTTGATTTGCTGGCCCGCCTTCACTTAGGGCGGTCACAGATCTGGCCAGCCTTCAATTAGGGCGGGCACGAGGCTTGCTGGGGGCCTATGCCCAGAACATCTGCATGTCGGCTAGGCCCCTCTGAGGGCTCAATCCTCATTAATACTAATAATAAAAATAAATAAAAATAAAAAGAGACTTAAATTTAGTGAGTGCACGAGCATGTTTTCGACACAGCCATCTTTGGCGATTTTTCATTTTTTTTGGGCATAGCTAAATGCCCTGAAAATTTGCAGATGTGTACTTCACATAATACAAAACCCACTAAAAAAGTTTCAAAAAATAATAAAATTGTTTAGACCCCGAAATGAAGTGACAACAAAAAGTGAAAAGTGAAAAAATACGTGGGCGAGCACATTCTGACACCGCCATCTTTGGCGATTTTTAATTCTTATTGGGCTTAGCCAAATGACTTGAAAATTTACCGGCATGTACCTCACATCATAGAGAACTCACAAAAAAACAATTCAGAAAAAAATAATTATTTTTAAGCGCCGAAATAATTTTTGGCGGGGGCCGAATGCCGTCGGGTTCGGACCCCGTACGGGACCCCGAACGCCCGTACGTACGGAGGTCTGCCCGGGGACCTCCGTACGTACGGGCTGGTGACCCTGTATATATATATATATATATATATCGTCACAAATAGAACTGCCCGGTAAACCGTAGGCAGAGAGAGAGAAGAGGACAACAAACGAGGGGCTGTGACAAACTGTTTC